GATATTAATATATTAAATGAACAGTCCAAGTTTTTACAAGTATTTGATGCAACTTCCATAGTTATGTAAACAGTGTCAAGAAAAATCTAATTTTTTATTTCATTTATTAATAACAAAAATATTGTATAATAATAAACGCATATATATGGTAAAAAAAAAACAAGTGAAGCAGCATGCAAATTTAATATTTAGTAGCAATTTAATTAAATTGAAGCAGGTTCAAAATATGGTACAATTATAAAAAATTGGAAAAATTATATACATAGTGCAAAAGAGGATAGGGAAAAGTGTTATATTTTGAATAAAGTATACGTGCAGTGTTTTCGCTCTTTACTGTTACAACAGAGATTTTGTATAATTAATGTTGTATAGTAGATTTATCCTAAAAACAGATAAATTGAAAAATCTATAAAAAATTAAAATATAATTAAAACATTTGAAATGCATACGAAATATAAGCACATTACAATCGTTATTTATGTGAATGTTAATTCTTAATCATTTTTTAGCTCTTGGTGATTTTCTTTTCAAGCCAGATGGCTTTTTTGTACATGCTGCACAAACAGGTTTTTTACTTTTCAGAAGCTTAGATGTCTCCTCTTTTCCCTCAATATTTCATAATGTGAATGTTGAGAATAATTTTCATTTTGTGAATGTTGAGAATTTGAAATTTATGTGCTTGAGCAAAATGAGTGCTTAAAGAGTAATGCAATGTAAACATGTTATGTTATACATGTACAGTAAACAAACTATTTTACAAAAATTGTTTTCCAATTTCAAACTCTGTTATTTAAGTGATCTATTTTTCTTTCCTTGATAGCTGACATCCATAACAGACATGTATCTAATACCCATATTTTTAGATGAAGCTAACAATGACAAAAATAATGATAAACCTTACACACAGCAGTTCACGCATATTTTTTTCACTAAATTTTTTGATAACGGTCTACTAAAAAAAAATTTACATTGCATTTTTTACAAAATTTGCGAGTGAAAAAACAATCAAGGATAAAAATTAATTTTATTCATCACATTCTGACCACATACAATATAGTCATATGTATATATATTGTTAGACATTCACATTTAAAAAAAACAGGACTAAGACAATAAATCAATTTCACTCAAATCAAGTCAAACTATTTCAACAGTACGTTCTAATAAGGGATAATATATAATTCATTCAAGAGTTGTTACATTACATTCTGTTTTTTCAACAGTACACTCAACATAAGGGATAATACATAATTCATTTTAACACTTATTCGATTACATTCTGTTATTTCAACAGTACACTCAAAAATAAGAGATGATATATAATTCATTCAACAGTTATTCGATTACATTCTGTTATTTCAACAGTACACTCAATAAGGGATAATATATAATCATTACAACAGTTATACATTACATTCTGTTATTTCAACAGTACATTCAATATAAGGGGATAATTAATTAATATAAGAAAAAATAAATTTTCCTAGTAAAGATTAAAAAAGGAAAGAAAATTTCGCTAATTTAAGTTTGGTTATCATTTACGTAACACAGAAATACTTTAACATTTGAAAGGGGGAAAAACTAAGCATCTTAAATTTTATATTTTAGTTAATTTTTAAGTCTTGATTGCGTTTTTCTGACAAAGATGATTTCTCAAAGATATTATGTGACTTAATATTTAGAATCTACAAACACAGAAAGGATATTAATATATTAAATGAACAGTCCAAGTTTTACAAGTATTTGATGCAACTTCCATAGTTATGTAAACAGTGTCAAGAAAATAATCTAATTTTTTATTTCATTTATTAATAACAAAAATATTGTATAATAATAAACGCATATATATGGTAAAAAAAAAAAAGTGAAGCAGCATGCAAATTTAATATTTAAGTAGCAATTTAATTAAATTGAAGCAGGTTCAAAATATGGTACAATTATAAAAAATTGGAAAAATTATATACATAGTGCAAAAAGAGGATAGGGAAAAGTGTTATATTTTGAATAAAGTATACGTGCAGTGTTTCGCTCTTTAACTGTTACAACAGAGATTTTGTATAATTAATGTTGTATAGTAGATTTTATCCTAAAAACAGATAATTGAAAAATCTATAAAAATTAAAAAAAATATAATTAAAACATTTGAAATGCATACGAAATATAAGCACATTACAATCGTTATTTATGTGAATGTTAATTCTTAATCATTTTTTAGCTCTTGGTGATTTTCTTTTCAAGCCAGATGGCTTTTTTGTACATGCTGCACAAACAGGTTTTTTACTTTTCAGAAGCTTAGATGTCTCCTCTTTTCCCTCAATATTTCATAATGTGAATGTTGAGAATAATTTTCATTTTGTGAATGTTGAGAATTTGAAATTTATGTGCTTGAGCAAAATGAGTGCTTAAAGAGTAATGCAATGTAAACATGTTATGTTATACATGTACAGTAAACAAACTATTTTACAAAAATTGTTTTCCAATTCAAACTCTGTTATTTAAGTGATCTATTTCTTCCTCTGATAGCTGACATCCATAACAGACATGTATCTAATACCCATATTTTTAGATGAAGCTAACAATGACAAAAATAATGATAAACCTTACACAGCAGTTCACGCATATTTTTTCACTAAATTTGATAACGGTCTACTAAAAAAAAATTTACATTTGCATTTTTTACAAAATTTGCGAGTGAAACAAATCAAGGATAAAAATTAATTTTATTCATCACATTCTGAACCACATACAATATAGTCAATATGTATATAATATTGTTAGACATTCACATGTTAAAAAATACAGGACTAAGACAATAAATCAATTTCACTCAAATCAAGTCAAACTATTTCAACAGTACGTTCTACATAAGGGATAATATATAATTCATTCAAGAGTTGTTACATTACATTCTGTTATTTCAACAGTACACTCAACATAAGGGATAATACATAATTCATTTAACACTTATTTCGATTACATTCTGTTATTTCAACAGTACACTCAACATAAGAGATGATATATAATTCATTCAACAGTTATTCGATTACATTCTGTTATTTCAACAGTACACTCAATATAAGGGATAATATATAATTCATACAACAGTTACTACATTACATTCTGTTATTTCAACAGTACATTCAATATAAGGGATAATATATAATTAATATAAGAAAAAATATAAATTTTTCCTAGCAAATATGAAAAAAGGAAAGAAAATTTTGCTAATTTAAGTTTGGTTATCATTTATGTAACACAGAAATACTTTAACATTTGAAAGGGGGAAAAACTAAGCATCTTAAATTTTATATTTTAGTTAATTTTTAAGTCTTGATTGCGTTTTTCTGACAAAGATGATTTCTCAAAGATATTATGTGACTTAATATTTAGAATCTACAAACACAGAAAGGATATTAATATATTAAATGAACAGTCCAAGTTTACAAGTATTTGATGCAACTTCCATAGTTATGTAAACAGTGTCAAGAAAATAATCTAATTTTTTATTTCATTTATTAATAACAAAAATATTGTATAATAATAAACGCATATATATGGTAAAAAAAAACAAGTGAAGCAGCATGCAAATTTAATATTTAAGTAGCAATTTAATTAAATTGAAGCAGGTTCAAAATATGGTACAATTATAAAAAATTGGAAAAATTATATACATAGTGCAAAAAGAGGATAGGGAAAAGTGTTATATTTTGAATAAAGTATACGTGCAGTGTTTCGCTCTTTAACTGTTACAACAGAGATTTTGTATAATTAATGTTGTATAGTAGATTTATCCTAAAAACAGATAAATTGAAAAATCTATAAAAAATTAAAATATAATTAAAACATTTGAAATGCATATCAAATATAAGCACATTACAATCGTTATTTATGTGAATGTTAATTCTTAATCATTTTTTAGCTCTTGGTGATTTTCTTTTCAAGCCAGATGGCTTTTTTGTACATGCTGCACACAGGTTTTTTACTTTTCAGAAGCTTAGATGTCTCCTCTTTTCCCTCAATATTTCATAATGTGAATGTTGAGAATAATTTTCATTTTGTGAATGTTGAGAATTTGAAATTTATGTGCTTGAGCAAAATGAGTGCTTAAAGAGTAATGCAATGTAAACATGTTATGTTATACATGTACAGTAAACAAACTATTTTACAAAAATTGTTTTCCAATTCAAACTCTGTTATTTAAGTGATCTATTTCTTCCTCTGATAGCTGACATCCATAACAGACATGTATCTAATACCCATATTTTTAGATGAAGCTAACAATGACAAAAATAATGATAAACCATACACAGCAGTTCACGCATATTTTTTCACGAAATTTGATAACGGTCTACTAAAAAAAATTTACATTTGCATTTATTACAAAATTTGCGAGTAAAACAAATCAAGGATAAAAATTAATTTTATTCATCACATTCTGAACCACATACAATATAGTCAATATGTATATAATATTGTTAGACATTCACATGTTAAAAAATACAGGACTAAGACAATAAATCAATTTCACTCAAATCAAGTTAAACTATTTCAACAGTACGTTCTACATAAGGGATAATATATAATTCATTCAACAGTTATTCGATTACATTCTGTTATTTCAACAGTACACTCAATATAAGAGATGATATATAATTCATTCAACAGTTATTCGATTACATTTTGTTATTTCAACAGTACACTCAATATAAGGGATAATATATAATTCATACAATAGTTACTACATTACATTCTGTTATTTCAACAGTACATTCAATATAAGGGATAATATGTAATTAATATAAGAAAAAATATAAATTTTCCTAGCAAAATATGAAAAAAGGAAAGAAAAATTTTGCTAATTTAAGTTTTGGTTTCATTTATGTAAACACAGAATACTTTAACATTTGAAAGGGGGAAAAACTAAGCATCTTAAATTTTATATTTTAGTTAATTTTTAAGTCTTGATGCGTTTTTCTGACAAAGATGATTTCTCAAAAGATATTATGTGACTTAATATTTAGAATCTACAAACACAGAAAAGGATATTAATATATTAAATGAACAGTCCAAGTTTTACAAGTATTTGATGCAACTTCCATAGTTATGTAAACAGTGTCAAGAAAATAATCAAATTTTTTATCTTATTTATTAATAACAAAAATATTGTGTAATAATAAATGCATATATATGGTAAAAAAAACAAGTGAAGTAGCATGCAAATTTAATATTTAAGTAGCAATTTAATTAAATTGCAGCAGGTTCAAAATACGGTGCAATTATAAAAAAGTGGAAAAATTATATACATAGTGCAAAAAGAGGATAGGGAAAAGTGTTATATTTTGAATAAAGTATACGTGCAGTGTTTCGCTCTTTAACTGTTACAACAGAGATTTTGTATAATTAATGTTGTATAGTAGATTTATCCTAGAAACAGATAAATTGAAAAATCTATAAAAAATTAATATATAATTAAAACATTTGAAATGCATACGAAATATAAGCACATTACAATCGTTATTTGTGTGAATGTTTATTCTTAATCATTTTTTTAGCTTTTGATGATTTTCTTTTCAAGCCAGAGGGCTTTTTTGTGCATGCTGCACAAACAGGTTTTTTACTTTTCAGAAGCTTAGATGTCTCCTCTTTTCCCTCAATATTAAAAGATTTTTTACATTTTGAACAAACATATGAAGAATTATCATGATTTTTCTTAGCAGCTTTTTTTTGTGGCTGAACTGGATTTGTTTGTGTAGCGTATTCTGGGATAAAACCTCGTACACCTAACAGAAATGATTTTCTGGAACACATCCAACAAATTGGCGTACTCCAATTTTTAGGTTTATACGCACGCCAGCTTCCCTCCAATTTGAAAGGATTATTACATTTTGAACAAGTAAGGTAAGTATCTTTATAATAATCACGATTATAATCAGAATCTTCATTAAAGTCAAGTGATCTTTCTACAATTTCTGGGTCATAAAAAAGCCTATAGCAATCCTCAATATGACTTTGATTACAATCAGGTGATACTGCTGCAGAATTTGGATCATCAGTACAATCTTTATTGCAGACACCTGACATTTCTGCAGAATATTGATCATCAGTAAAGTCTTTATTGCAGACACCTGACATTTCTGCAGAATATTGATCATCAGTACAGTCTTTATTGCAGACACGTGACACTTCTGCAGAATTTGCATCACCAGTACAATCTTTATTGGAGACACATGACACTTCTGCACAAGCTGGTTCATCACTATTATCTTTAACAGGATTCAATGATATTTCTTTACATTGTAAACATATTGGTTTCTCCCAGTCTGCCAGTTTATATGGCTTCCAGTTGCCCCCTACAGTTAGCGATTTACTACATACTGAACATAAAAAATTACTTTTAACACTTTCCGTACTCGAAGTTTCGGGTGCAGTTGGAAGAGGCATACTTTTTCGATCATCAGTACAGTCTTTATTGCAGACACGTGACACTTCTGCAGAATTTGGATCACCAGTACAATCTTTATTGGAGACACATGACACTTCTGCACAAGCTGGTTCATCACTATTATCTTTAACAGGATTCAATGATATTTCTTTACATTGTAAACATATTGGTTTCTCCCAGTCTGACAGTTTATATGGCTTCCAGTTGCCCCCTACAGTTAGCGATTTACTACATACTGAACATAAAAAATTACTTTTAACACTTTCCATACTCGAAGTTTCGGGTGCAGTTGGAAGAGGCATACTTTTTTGATCATCAGTACAGTCTTTATTGCAGACACGTGACACTTCTGCAGAATTTGGATCACCAGTACAATCTTTATTGGAGACACATGACACTTCTGCACAAGCTGGTTCATCACTATTATCTTTAACAGGATTCAATGATATTTCTTTACATTGTAAACATATTGGTTTCTCCCAGTCTGACAGTTTATATGGCTTCCAGTTGCCCCCTACAGTTAGCGATTTACTACATACTGAACATAAAAAATTACTTTTAACACTTTCCGTACTCGAAGTTTCGGGTGCAGTTGGAAGAGGCATACTTTTTTTGGGAAAACGTTCATCATCTTGAAATGAAACTGTAACACAAAAATTACATTCAATGGACAAAAAGTAAAAGAACAGATTTTTTAAATAAGATTTTACATTTATATATAATTAACAAGGTTAGTTAGAGAATGAGATACAGATTCATATTAATCTCAGATTTCTAAGTGATAAACAGCTAAAATTAACTTTAGAATTACATTTAAGTACACTTCAAAAAATATACAGGGTGTGGCATCCATCATATATGACTCATTTAGAGTTCTCTCTGTTGGGGTTTGTGAAGGAAAGAGTGTATTGGATGCCTTTGGCCAATGCACAAGATTTGTGCACCTAATTTACAAATGTGACTGAAATGCTTACATCAGTGATGCTTTTGAACATGTGGTATGAGACAGAGTACTGCCTAGACATGTTACAAATGGTGCTAAACTAAATCAAAAAAGTTTGAAAATGAAATTCATGCTTGAAATTAACAAAAACAATAGCCTAGCCACTAAAGATGCATTACTAGCAAAAAATGGAAATTTTCTACATAGTGGAGTTACAAGAAACCAACACCTAATTTCAGAGTTGTACTAAAAAAAAAAAAATTCTGAGTAATTCTTCCCAACTATGTAAACAACAACAATGCAATAAATATGTTGATTTTGGATATACATATAATTTTTTGCCCTCACTTCTTTTCCAGATACTCTGTATTTTAGCCTTTACTACATTCTCTCTAAATATCCTCAGGTTAATCAAAAGATGGCTGAATATAGACAACAGAGTATTTGAAGTTTTTGATTAAAGTACCAGAACTTCTGCACAACCTAAACAAGTAATCTTACCCTAATATGAAAACTTATCTGGCACTCAGTTTCTTTCTAGACCAGGAATGGCCAACAAGTCGATCAAAGTGATGTTTGGTCGACAATAGTCAACAGGAGATAATTTCAACACACATATAAAACTCAGTTTTGACACACAGAAAAAATACTCATGGCTCCTTTCGAATCAGTTGAGGCTGAAAATTTGCCTTCCACCCTTGCTACCAACAGAGATGAAGACAGGCATTTAAGCTCATCTATCATCAGCTCACTGTTTAACATGCCATCCTTGGTGCACCCTCTTTTAATTCTTGGTGTAACAATACATAAGTTATCATTCTTCTGTTCCAGTACTGCTACACAAAAAGGTAACGTTTCTATGTTTTAAATTAAAACTGCCTACTTGTATATTTCTTTTGCATTTCAGTACCCTTTAAAATTAGTAGTAAATAAAAAAATATAAAACTTATCCTTTTCAATAATTAGAAGAAAACTTCATTACTTTTTTTTTAAATGATGAATAAATGTTGTTGCTTAATATGCAATACCTCCACAGCCACTACTAAAAACAGTGGTTTGGAAAGCCACTTTTTAACTTAAATATCTTGCAGTTCACTAGTGACTTCAGAAAAACAAAACAGGGATCTTAATGGACAACAACATGCTTTTAAATTGTCCATGTTGAAATCATGTGCATTGCCTATTGCACTAAACTAGCAAAAAATTTAAACGATTTTCTAACAGTAAATTTTTGAAAACTTTCTTGAAAACATCAAATTCACTTTTTAATGATTTTAAGATCAAGAATAAAATTATTACTAATTAAAGATGTACAGTTGCCTCAAAACATAGTGATGTACTTAATTGAGAAAGAAGTGATAGCACTAATAAATATTCTTGTTTTTCCATTTCATTTGAATCAGTAGCTATAACCCAACTAGCAGAGAGCATTCAATGCAAGTGTTTAACAAAAGTGCTGGGAATGTTCAGACGGAACATTCCGAATCTTGTCTATATGTTACAGTTCTAAAAATGGACTATAGCACATCCATTACGGTGATAACCCTTTGTTGCTCAGTGTTCCACTACATGGAACACCCAAATTGAATCGCTTCTGAAACCGTTAAATTCAATCGTAAATGGATAAAAATGCCTTTATAATATACTTCAAGCTTCTCTGTTTAAATAGTAGTGGAAGCATATCACAAGGAGACCCAGAATTTTCATTTATGATGTGTTATTAAAATCCTCTTATTTTGTATATTTTTTTGGACGAAAAAAAATTTTTGAAAAAAACATTCCGTATAATTTTGATGGCTGTACTCTATATTATTTGTTATATATTGTTTTACAATTTTCATACAAAAAGCATGTGCAGAATCATTGAATAAAACGGGGTGTTCCATTAGCGGGAACACTGCGCCTTTAGTGATCTCATGCTATTACGCATCAGAACATCTGTCTTAGGAGAAAACATGTGTTGTGGATGTGCTATGAAAGCCCTAATATGTGCATCTTGAAATTTTTGTGAGTAGTTTTCAGGCGGGAATTTTATCAGTAGCTTGAGTCATCTTTACTTAGGGGAGCTATGCGAATTATTTTGCTATCGCTCTTTAGTCTCATTCCCATTTATTTACAATAATTGTGTAGATATTTTTTGTGTATGTATATCTTCTAGCTTATTTTTCTTTATTGCTAATATTAATTGCAGTTAATTTTTTATTATTAATTTTCCATAAATGGCAGGAAAACTCTTTCCGAAAAGGAAAGAGTTTCTTTTTCTCTTTTGTTTTTACTTGGAATTCTAAACATATTGTTGCATGGAACAGAAGCCGCACAAAAAAAGTTTTTTGTTCAAAACCTGCAAAGTTGGTTTGTGCTTCATTCAAAAAAATGTGACATGCTTTGAAAATTTTACGAAGCTATGAAATCAAAAAATTTGTAAATATTTTTATATATAGGACTTGTGTATATACATATATTTATCTCATTTAGCCATATATATTCAAGAAAGTTGTATACCGTATTTGACGGCATATAAGACGCACTTTTTTTTCCTAAATTTGGTCTAAAAAAAGTTACCTGCGTCTTATACGTGAAGGTAATTACATTCAATAATTGTTTATTTGGCTTTTACAAAATGTGAGAACTAAAAGAAACCACGCTATTGAAACTTTTTTTCCTTGTGTGTGGCCGTCTAAATAAGGGTGCGTCTTATATGCCATCAAATACGGTATATCCAGAAAACCATGTATACAGCTGTAACACAGTGTTTTTTCATTACTATAAATAAGCTTCTACTCATTTCGGTGCTTCATTGCAATACTCGCTTAGACTCACTTTTAAGAGCTCTGGTGGCACAGTGTTTCACCTCATGGAACACCCACAGAATTGAAACGGTAAGTGCAATTTTTACAAAATTTTATCTGTATACTCCTTTAGGCCTAGATAGACTGCATACAACTTTTCTTGTTGAAATACCTACTTTAAAGTGTAGTGAACCACAAAGGGTTCATGGCATTCTCATGTAACATGCATTATAAAACGTTATATTGTGTTTTATAAAAACCTGTATACAACGTTCCATCAGAACATTTTAAATTACATCTACATATTAGAGTTCTAAAACGGACAACAGCACATCTAGTACTGGTGTTAATTGCACTCTCATGGAACGTGCCAAGAACATTTTATAAAGAACATCTATACAACATTCTACCAGAATATTGTATAAAGAACCTCTATGCAATGTTCTACCAGAAAGTTTTAAATCACGTCTATATGTTACAGTTGTATAATGTACAAAGAATATCAAATGCCAGTGTTAGTGACACTCTCATGTAATGTGAAAGAATGTACAAAAAATGCTTGTACATCAGTCTAAAATAATGTCTACATGTTACAGTTTTATACAGTCTAATAGCGGTCGCGAACACTTAGCCAACAGGACACTTAACCGACAAGACATTTAGCCGACAGGGACACTTAGCCTTAGCCTACATGGACATTTAGCCGACAGGACATTTAGCCGACAAGGACACTTAGCCGACAGGGACACTTAGCCGACAGAACATTTAGCCGACAGGACATTTGGCCGACACGGACACTTAACCGACAGGTCATTTAGCCGACAAGACACTTAGCCGAAAAGGACATTTAGCCGACAGGACATTTTGCTGACACAGAGAATTAGCTGTCAAGATATTTAACTACGGACACTTAACTATCAACACATTTATTTGACAGGACACAAAGCTGACAGTAACTTTTAGCTGGCACGTACCCAATAACTGTTCAAACTTACTATCAATTACAAATTTCTCGACTTCTCCGTAAGTTCAATATTTAAGTTATTTTTTCACTATCAGTAAAATTCATTTTTCGATTCTTAAAGATCTCATATATACTTTTAATTATTGTGTTAATTTAGCATTGTTTGATATATATCCATGGACCTTATAAGAAATAGACCAACCCAAATGGGTTTTCTCCCTTGCCTTGGCGTATTGCCGGCTATCACCTTGACCACATCTGGAGGAGTAGGGACGACTTGCAGAAACTTAACAATAGTTGGCTATTGCAGCGCGTATAATTTTCAAGAAAAAAGCTGGTGATAGCACCTCCCTTTCACAAATTAGAATTTTTAGATATTTTTATTTTTGAAACTCAGATTGATTGATTTTAAAAATTTAGCATGTTTGTTCAAGCGTAATTAATGTTCTAAATAATTTATAAAGTTGTTGCATGCTTTCAGGTTGGATATTTTTTTAGCTTTTTCCTATGCTGTAAGGAAATTTGTATCTCCTTCTTTTAAAAAATAATATTTTAAATCTGAACTAATAGAAAAATTCAAACAAACAATTTTCTCTTACAATTTTTATGCTTTTTATTGGCGTAAATAAGTAAAAAATACTAAAATTGAAAAAAAAAAAAAAATTAATTTTTGAAAGTTTTTGCTTAAAATTCTTATTTGTACTGCTTTTTTTAAAAGTATATCTGAATATTATAGCATAATATTCTACAAAGAAGTTTTATTTCAATAATATTTCATAATACATCATAGTGATTAACACTTTTAACACTTTAATAATTTTTATGCATTTATTCTAATGTTAAAAATTGTATTTAACTGTAATAATTAATTGTGCTAATATTTTATAGTGATTATTTTTTTAATTTATGTCTAGTTCTGCATAAGTTTTCTTATTTATTGCTAATTT